GCTCCCCAAAGTGAACAAACACATTCCCAACGAGTGAGCAACACGACTTTATCTCTCGGTTGGTATGGCCTAGAATAAGTAGCTATATCAGATTTTATAGTGGAATTTCACCAATAAAATTCAACCCATCAGCAAGCAATTTGCTTGGGAATCAGAACTTCTTTTCAGTATCAAATGCCCAAAGCCAAAGGAGAGAGATAGAGAGAGATTTATGAATCGAAAATAGATGTGGTGGTGGAATTGGAGATGCATGCAATAACTTATGAATATCATGCACGTTTGTCTACTTACAAATATAGAATAATAACACTAAATTGTAATGTTAGATACACCGTTCTTATATTAAGATAAAAATACATATGTTAATGAGTAATGACCCATAAAAATGAACTAAAAAGAGCATATTTAAATGAGATGTCAAAAAATCCATATCAGCAATTGTTTTCCAAACGAAATGCCAATTCCTATGTGGCATGACAGGGAAAGAAAGCATAGGAAATTGTTGTCAAATTTGGCAACAGCTTCAAATATATTTAGTAATTAATAAATACTTTTCATAATATATATATTTATCTTTTGTTTTAAAATACTAATTACAACTATAAAAAGTAAATAATGTAATAAATAATAGTTTAAAAATTTGACATATTTGTTGGAGAACAAAATTTATAAAAAGATCCATATGCCACATAAGCCTTCAAATCAAAATTTTCTTTGAAGATGGTCTAATTAATCTCCTTTTATGCTAGTAACTAAAAGAGTTCAAACCCTTGGAAACTTTGATTCATCGCAAATTTGTGAATCGGGTCAGAAAAACTAGGCCAAATATCTTAAGCATCATAGTCTTTGCGGGCCAAATATTTAAGAATCATAGTCTTTGTGGTCACACCGTGCTCTTACTTTGACGTTTCTGATGAAAAAGTTATTAATTAAAGTTTCGTGGCGAACTACATTAGCAATTTAGTCCAAATTCAAACTTCCGTTATTATTCCCATTAAAGAAAAAAAACATGTGAGCCTCAGGTAGGGAGGTTAAAGTCGTCTTTTCAAACTAAATTAAGAAACCTAAAAGTATCTGTCCTAAGATTTGGTATGACTTAGAGTTCGACTGCAATTGGATTAGAGGAAAGATAGGCTTGAGATTTGAAGGAAGTCAAATGGTGAATGCAAACTGTGGGAAGGTGATTGTAACAAAATGAAGCTTTGACCCACTTCCAAATGATAATGTTATCATAGTTTAGAAAACCAGAAGCAGAATAAAAACGTGTTGAGATTAGTCAACATCTTGTTTGTGATCAAGCGGCCAAGCTTGACATTTCTTCAAGAGAAGAGAGGGCGTTTAGGGAATAACATCAGCCCCAACAGATTTAACAGAAGATTAAAACTTTGCTCGATCTGCGGTTTCTAGGAACTTTGGGAGCAGACTTGTTTTAGATGACGATTTTTATTAACAGCCTTTTCATCACAAATGTCACAATAAAAGTGGAGTGTCACCACAAACATTACAAAAAAAAATTCGGCCCAAAAACTACGACGTTAACACCAAATGTAAATATATAACAATAAGGATAATTAATAATGTCATAGTAATTGAATCATTTACTCCTTCTCACCATTTTGACCTAATTCATTGTCTTCAAGCCCCTCATATTTTAGTAATGAATAATATTAGGAAGACTAAAATTTTAAATTAAATTTATAAACCAACTGATGTGTCACAATATAAAATAAGCACGTTAATCAACACTTGAGTGATATCTAATCATCAACAATCACCTCATTTGGTTTTACAAAATTTAGTTTAAAAATTTTGATTTTCCTAGTATTACCCTTTAGTAATTTTACCCAGTCTCTATTTTTCTAAAGTATCGTCTAATATTTTCTGTATGTACCTCTGTTTGTTTGTTTGTTTTTTTTTTCTTTTTTTTTGTTTGAGATAACCGTATATACCTCTGTTACACATTAATGATAGATTAATTATTCTCTCTATGTACTCAAAAAAAAATTATTCTCCCTATGCATCTCCATCATGAAGCAGCAATATACTTTTGGCATATAGGTCAAACTCAAATTAGAATAATTTAGGAGCGACCGTATAAAATTATAAACGCAGAAATGATCTGAGTGGAGATGTTGACTAACATGATTGGTCCATGATTGGGATATAAAAACACTATTTAGTTACGAAAATGACCAAACGAACAATTAGGAAGAGATCAAGTCATGCTTTGAACGATTTAGAGGCTTCGAGTATTTGTTCACGACGTAGTATTTTTTTTTTAATAAACGATATTATCTACATTAACGGAATGGACGAGTAGGTTAAGTCTTACAATAAGCTAGTAATAATATGGTTCAAATTCGCTTTTGGCGAAAATTGAACTTAAAAAATCTCGCTTACAAGTAAAGAGAAATATTACTACACAGTAGTACTAAGTGGCACACCATAAGTTTTAAACATCAACATATGCACTGGTTTTTAAGGATTGAATACAACGAGAGGTTGCTCGGTCGATCTTCTTCTTCTTGCATGTGCGTCAATAAAATGTAATATGAGAAAATGAATAGTCAGACATAGAATAGCATAGAGAGTTGTATCTCTTTCTTTGACACGAATTAATATGAGAAAATGAATAGTCAGACATAGAATATTATATGCAGCGGTAAATAATTTTAATAACTTGAATTATTGACTTTTTACTTAACACGAATCTAGGAACTTCGAAATAAAATAGTAAGGATAATAAACTATATCAATTAGTCTCCCCAAGGTGATCCTCATTTCTGATTTTCAGGTATTAATTAAATCACAGAATTTCACATATTTTTCAGTTTTTATATGGTTAATAAACACAGAGAAAATTAGAAACTGAAATGATATCAAAATCCAAATTTTAATAGCACATGGAACTCAAAAATCACAAAAAAAAAAACCATTTTTAATTGGGTACGTGAGTAAGCATGACATGTTTAAGAACAATTCAGAAAATAAATAATAACAAAATTTGGAGAAAGAAAAAACAAGGTTCGCGTTGAGAATGTGGGATTGATATTTAATCTCTCCACCAACTTAGAGAGAGAGAGAGATAGTGAGAGAGAGAGAGAGAGAGAGTTCAACATGATTCATGCAAGTAATGAAATATGAGCGATTCACCCAATTAATAATTATGCATGATTTTGTATTCAATTAGAAATTTAAGAGATTTTAATATAATTATAAACTCACATGGAGTATATGGATTTTAAATGATTCACACATACTCACGCGGATTGTAAAAGAATTTGATAGAATAACGCGGATTGTAAAAGAATTTGATAAAATATTATGTTACGAAGTTTAATGATTTTGGTGGAGTCTTATGGATTTTTTAATTGATTCATTTTAAACTCATCAACTCCACACACATAGCCAACTCAATAAATCATATGACTATATTTGGCTGCAGTGGTTTAACCAAGTCTCAATTCTGAATAAGAGTATTATTCAACAATTATAATAAAGAACATATTGGTTACGAACAATCCTTGCTGCCTGTTTTTCTTCGTCATTCCTTTCCAGCAATTAAGTGTTATTTTTTTTTTCCCATCTCTAATGTTATTCCATAAAATGTAAAGAATATCTTCTAAAGAGGAGAAAATATAGTATATAGACCTCTGTGTGTAGAAAATGAGACTGCTCGTATTTATAGAGGAATCACGCTGAAATCTTGAGGGGATGCATGATTTGTGAGGGCTTTTGATATTTATACCTCACACCTTAGAGTCCATCAAATCCTCTAATTCATTGAATTATACAAATGCATTGGCTTTTTCAATACCTCCAGAGATTTTAAAGACACTTTCAAAGTCTATATTGAATACCACCATACTTGAATTGAATCCTTAAGATTCTGAATTGAATACCACTTGCGTTTAAAAGACTCATTTAAAATCAGGGAAATTTAACGAAAAGTTCATGGTACTGTTCACTTTAACGAAAAACCACATTTTTACACTAAAAAGTCAATCCTGGTACTATTCATTTTACCCTTTATTTTGTCTTTATCGTTAAAACTTAAAGTTTTCAAACTCTTTACATTAGTTTTCCTTATATAATATGATCAACATCTTCATTAATTGAAATTTTTTGGTTATGGTGTCATTTGATAACAATTTCGTTTTTAGTTTTTAGTTTTTTATTTTCATTTTGTTGTTAAATTGAAATTTAAAACTTGTTTGGTAACTAATTACAATTTTCTTATTTCCAATTTTTTTTTTTCGAAGCTTAAAACCTCAAAGTAGTTACCATGAAAACTAAAATCTAATATTTGGCTTCCATTAGTTTTTAAAATCATTCATATTAGTTTGGATGAATGTGGTGTTCCCAAACACATAAGTTTGAATCCTTCTTCAAAAACAATTTAGATTAGTTGAAAATCAATCGTAATTATAACAAGTTTAAAATTAAATATCGTTTATGAAAAACGTAGTACAAAGCAATATTTATTCTAGGGAAAAAAAACTAGTGGAGTTTAAAGCGTTTATCCTCGCATCTGTAGTCAGAAGTTCAGTTTAGAGCGTAATATTAACTTTATACAATAAAGAAAAAACAATTCAAGGTTCCCAACAATAAAGAAAAAACAATTTGAGGTTCCCAAAAAAACAAAAAAAAAACGATAAAAAAAAAAAAACAAAAAAAACCAAAGGGCTATAGTAGTTAAGCCCACCCATAGTTTAGGAGCTGACCCATCTTACTTGAGTTATGGACCCCAAACAAAGACACAACTCCATGAACCGGCCCAAGTCGAACCTTAAATAGTGCATTATTTTATGGATTCTATAGTAGTTGACCCTATACAACCTTAGGAAGCTACTTTGGCGTCTAGGACCATTAACTTCATGTGTTTTAAACTTTTTTCACATGATATTATTTGTGTGTGACGCCAAAGTGGCATCCTGAGAGTATATGTAAGTCTCCCTTCTATTGGTCAAATCTCTTCTCGTTTTTCTTTTCGGAGGCGATTCATGAAACACTAAAATTTCTCAAACCAAAGTGTCAGATCACAAAACGTTTACTTCAATCCTCCAGTATCCCCACCATGCATTTTTTCTACTAAAAACACATTTGATGGACCAAAAGACTTTCCTGTCTAAGTTAACACCAACGAACATTGCACGATCAGGTCGAAGAAGCAGCCGCAGACATGAAATACCTCCTACCGATGGTCATCGTGGCTATTTCCCGCCAATCTTGCCCCTCCTTGTAGTACTCAACCTACCATTTTATAGAACTGTTAAAATTACCCACAAAAGTCTTGCTCATACTGATGGAAACTGGAAAGCATGATAAAATGAAACTTACCGTCTCTGCTATGGTTTCATCGTCTTTCATCCCTCCGATTACATATATGGTATCTTCGACAACAGCAGCGGCTGAATATCCCCTGGGGAAATACATTGTTCAGCCCGCATCCATGACCCGAGCTGTGGATCAAAACTTTCCACACTACGGACCAGTGAATCTCCATCAAAGCCTCCCAGAACATGTCTGCAAAAGTGAATGTCCATAATTGTGAAGGTGAAAAAACGAAGTTAAAACACCAAAATTGAACAAAATAAAAGGGAAACTTGCTGTTGACGACTCGATGTATATGAAGTGAAGAAATGGATGTCAACTTCAATTTTTTGTCGAAGTTAAAGGTAGAACAAGAAGGAAACATATCCATTTCAATCCCCAAAAAATTGGTAAGATTGGGAGGGATAAGTTTCCCCTGCAACTAATCCCACTCCATCCTTTAACATACATTTAATCTAGTGAGTTATCTAATTGATATACAACCAAGAAACCAGAAATTAGGGTTTAGAACTAGAATTCAGAAAAGAGAGAGGCCAAAGAGAAACTTAGAAGACATTAATCTGCATCACTAATCCAACTCAATCTTGACACCAAGTGATGCCCTAAGTGGTTTAGGCAACCGGATAGTGGAGCAATCATGGACTATCTTGTGCAGAGATGCTCATCAAAAGAAGTGATTTATGTCTAACTTATGACAAGTTCTCATTCGAAAACGAAATCCGAAAAACTTCAATACCTGTCTGAGTTTACGACAAGTTCTCATGTCAAATTATGTGCATGAGTTGTGCATTTAGCGGAATATCCATGTCTAAGTCATTGTGGGAGCGCGTCTGAGATGCTGATTGAAACAAGTCAAAGAAATGTACTTACATTTTTTCACTCAGAACAACTGACGAATGGCAGCTCCTTTTCGAATGCATAGAGGCAATTTTGGTCCAACTGCGTGCTCTGGGGTCGAATCTATCAACAGTGCTGAGATATGAATATTTCAAGTCAACCGTCGATATGGGAAAACTAAACAATAGAAAGGAGGTTCAATATCTTACTTCAAATAACTATTCCCATCATATCCACCGGTGGCATAAAGCACACCTTTGAGTTCTACCGCAGCAAGAGCCATACGCTGGAACAACAAAAGATGCGCAAATCAAGAGCCACGAGGTAAACTTTTTGTACAAGAAAAACACATCATAGGAAAAGGGACCAAATATATATTACTTTTTGTAACATTGACTGTGTATGGATCCATCGTCCCGCGTCTAAATCAAGCATCTCAACATCTGAAAAGCAATCAACTCTGTTCCCACCATCCATTGCAAAAATTTCGTTGTTTGTGGTAGCTGCAGCCAAGCTACCTTTTTCTCTCTCTCAGAGAAGGGCACTGCTTCCACTCATCGGTAACAGGGCAGTACAATTCAACTTCATAGAACGACCATAAATAGATGTTAAGAAAGTATTCGTTCCAGTAAGAAATAAATTTCAAATGACCAAGATCTAATACCTGTATCATAGCACACTTGACCATTGCTACCACCAATTACATAAAGATTGCCAAAAAACCTACCATAGATTGAGCAGCAGAAGCATATGAACGAACTGCACTCATTGGGCTCAGAGGTTTCGTCTTATCTTCAGAAGGATAATAAGCATCAAATGCCGATAAACATGATTCGCCATCATATCCACCAACTAGATATATTGACTCATCAGGATCATAATGCAGCACATTCCATGATTCAGTATCCTTCTCATCAGTGTGTGCCTTGGAAGGTGTAGACCTAGATTCCAACCGTAGACAAAATTTTAAGCATCGAATTTCCGCCTCTGCCTGCTCCTGAAATGCCAGTGAAGAACTTCAAATTAAGAAGAAAATAAGATAAATGAAGTTGATTATGAACTATTAGCTATAGAGAGTTCATGGGTTCTGACTGACACAGATCATAAGAAAGGCAATGAAAGATTATCTTAATTGTCTAAAAAGAACAAAACAACAGGAAAGCCCAAACAAACAAGAAGATATATGTAAAAAACATAACAGCAAAGGTTCTCTACCAAAATTTCTAACAATTTTCCAAAAACATAAGGCAGGAACTTAAAACCGAACTCCTGACAAAACTATGCTTCCTTCTACAAATAAAAGTAAAAAAAAATATCCCTTCGTCTTTCAAACACCGCTTTCATCAGGTCTGGACGTGGAAATCCTATATTCATGAATTAGAACAGAAGGTGTGTATGTGGTTAACAGAAGCAAAAAGTCCGAAGGAAAAAAAGGTTTGACAACTTCTTGTGTCAATCAAAATGCCTTGAACCTATTCAGTGCCAATGATGAGACAATGCATCCGCAATGCATGCTACTGAATGTTGCTTGCATGGCTTAGCATTGTATTAAGTACCAGTTTATGCTCCAAATAATCAATCTTTTTAGATTGTTTGGTGAACTCTGTCTTAAAAGCCTTGACCTCCTCCACCTCTTGAATCTTAAAAGTCTTGAGCTCCTCCACCTCTTGAATCAACTGATACAAGTGTAATAACACATAAGGTCGGTTGTAATTTAACAGAAGCTTACAGAGATACCTAAGATTGGAAATTTTAATTTATGGACAACTAATTGTTCATTTACCTTCGCAATGATTGCCTGATACTCAGTCAAGGATTGAGGACCCTCTCCACTCTTCTGCTCAGAAGAGTAGTGCGGACTTTCTCCCCTCTTCTCCTCCAAACCCCATGGCTCCCTTGGATTCTCAATGTCCTCCAAGGTCAATTCATTTATGACATGATGATCTTCAAAAACTCCTGACAACGACGTGTGTTCACCTTCTCTACTCTTGAGGTTAGGTTGAAGTGCTAACTCTTGCAGTTTCATGTATAAAAGTTCCTCCTCCGCTTGCTCAGCTTCCATGATATCTATTTGGGCGTTGAATGGATCGTTTCTTTCAATGAACTCTGTGGAATCCTCTGAAGTAAGCGGTTGAAGAAATTCTAATGTGCGAGCTGAGGTAAGAGCTTGAAACATATGACTCCACTTTTTAATCCGTGGTAAAGAACCTACAGATGTACCTGAAGTGATTCCCGTAGTTGCCAACAAAGATATCACCTTACTTGTTTGAGCATGGTCAAGCTCAAACCAGAAATTACGCTGACTGTAGTAGTTGTCGACAAGTATCGCTTTAAACTGACTTTCAAGCACTGGTTGGCACTGCACCCGTACACGGATTGTAATATTACAAAGATAATGCTTTCATCACCAAGTCTCACTACAGGACACTATTATGCAGGTATTCATAAAAATCTTAACAAATTTGAAAAGATTAACAGCATCAAACGGAAAGTTAATGCAATGCGGGTAATCCGCGGAATCAAGCAATAAATAAACAATTAAAATTACAAATTGTAGGGAAAAAATCCAGCAAAGAAAACCCATTCATTCAATTTTTGTGCAATGAGCAAGCTCATAAAAGCACAAAATAGCTAAAATATATCGGAATTCACAGTTTTGGAACCAGAAACAAATAAAAACGCCATTTAAAAAAAAAACTTGAGTCGCTGATTAAAAGAAAAAACGAAGGATATATGCACAAAAACACTAATTTATTATTTAAAAAACCAAAAAGATTATATCTTGATGAAAACAAATATCCTCGAAACAATGTCTCACCCTAGAACCCTAAGAATTCCATGCAACTCTGCAACAAATCAAAAACAAAAAACAAATAAAAAGGCAAAAGCTTTTCGTCTTGATCAAACCGGATGATTCAGATAACCAGTACAATTAGCTATTTTCGTGTAGGAAATAAAAACAGAGACAAAAAACAGTTAGAGGAAGAGATGAGAGAGAGAACCGTATGGTGAGTGTCTGACAAGGGTTTAAGCGGGACGAGGGGACCTTGCCGAGAAAGGGAACGCAGAGTGCGAAAATAAACCAGCTTCTTCTCTTTCCTTCAAATCACGGTTTGGCACATATTTTTTACCCTTTTTCATATTACCTTTTGACAATATATAAATTACATTTGTTAAAAACACCATGATAAAATTTGTACATACTTATCAAAATGTGTCAACTAAAATTTGTGTGTATGCTAACACTTTGATTTTATTCTGGTGAACTTGTCATTTTTAATTTATTGCTAATTGATACCAAATTAGATTTGTTCATTGTGTGGCTTAACCGAACTCCTGCATCCTTTAGACCATCTCCAACCCTTAGGCTAAAAGCCAAATTTTTTAGCCCGGAAAATTTGGCTTTTAGCCCATAAACATCTTTTCTGCTCCAACCTTTATGCCCTAAAATTTTAGCTCGGAATTATTAAAGAATGAACTTAGGCTAATTTTTTTCTTAAATCAATTTAAAAAAAAATAAATATGTAGATTATTGTAAATTAATTTTATGAACATTTTAATCTAAAAAAATTTAAATTCCGATAAACATTTGGCATTTAGCCCGGGGGGAAAGTTGGGGGGTATTTGGCCCAGAAATAACATTTGGCATTTAGCCTAAAATTTTAACATGGGTTGGAGAGTGTTTGGGGGGGGTAATTTGGCTTTTAGCCCAGGTTTGGAGATGGTCTTAGTATAAAATATATTGTCGTACTAAAAAAAATTGTTGAAGGTATATTTTCTTTTTTAGGCCCATTCCATCAGGAGGCAGATTGTCTGCCCTCCTGTTTGGGTGCCTTTTCCATCCCCTCCTATTTGTGCAGTCACGGTTAAGCTACGTCAACATTTTATATTAATTTTTTTTATAGAAATAATAAGACAAAAGTAATAAAAATAGAAAATGTTGACGTGGCTTAACCGTGACCGCACAAATAGGAGAGGATGGGAGGGGCATCCAACAGGAGGGCAGACAATCTGCCCCCATTCCATCAAAGGGTAAAATTGATAAAAACAAAATAATAAAATAGAAATAAAAAGAACCTATGAAAACAAAAAAACCCAAAAAACAAAAGAAATTCCATGAGACCTTAAGAGCCCAAAGAGACAATGGCATGAAGTGAGGCCCAATGGGCTGGAGTTTGGAGGTGGATTTCATTTTATTTACAAAATTGCCATCGCGTGCTGTTCAGATTAGAGCTTTCGATTTACTTACGAACTTGCCACCGCTTCGCAAAGTGGAACGAGTCAGTCATCGCTGCGACTTCTTCTCCCGCTTTTTCTTTGCTTTTTGATTCTCTCTCGCCATTCTCAGTTTCTGCTACTCTCCACAAACCCAAATTTCTTCATATCGTTCCAGTATTCAACGACAAACCAAAACCCAGATCCCTAAACCCAAATTTCTTCATGTTTTTCCCTCCTCGAGTTCCTGCAGGAGCATCAGATGTACCCATATGAGCAGATCCTCAAGTCCATTTCATGCTCCTTAACAGGACAAACACGGTCGACTACGCCATGGACATCCACAAGTCCCTCCATCACACTGAAGATGCTCCCCAAGGTGATTATATAGACACCCCTTCTGCATTTATAGGTGTATGTGTGTTTGTTTGTGGTAATTTTTGTATATATAGGTCTGTGTGTATGTTTGTATATGCGCACCCATTAGGTGTTTGACAATTTGTCTCTGTGGATGTTCAGATATTTACAGGGTAGAACTTTTAGTTACGGTGGGGAGGGACGTAATGGCATGCTGATTTAGTATTTTTTTGGTACGTAGTGATGAGCACCTGAATTTTGTGATCAATTTAATTGAAGCTTTTTGTTTTTGGCATGTTTGTGTTTCTTATTCGCATTCATGATTCCATTATTATTTACATTTTCTTTTTGCATGATTTCTCATAAATTGGATGTGAATCTATTTATTGTATTTTCACCTTTTTAGCCAAGCAAATGATTTGATTGAGCAACAGATGCATCAATCATATACCGCAAGTGTGCGATGCCCAAGACATTACAGTGAGTTCAAATTATCACTCTCTTTGGTTTTTGACAGATTACATTAGATTTTATTGTTGTTTATTTGATGAAGTTCTCGATTAAGAGCATATATTTTTTCAATTTACCCCATTTTTTATTTAGTAGGGGAAAAGGGAATGAGGCGGTTTTGTGAGGCAGTACAGATAAAATTTTTTAGTTCTTGCGATGACAATCTATTATTTTACTCTTCCACTTGATTTTACAAATTTGTTCGAAAACTTGCAGGAAGGTGTGCATAATCTGTGGTTCGTTTGAACTTTGATATATGTCAAACTTATAATACAGGTACTGGGACATTGTTTGGAACAAATCCTCAAGTCCAGACAGCCACCACCGCCGCTTTGTCCAAATCTGACGGCTCGCGCTGTAGCATCTGCATGAATCTCCCCACACAACTGGACTCCGGGACTTTTTCCAAATAAACTCCAGACTCCAAAGGGTGTGGCTGAAAGGGTAGAATCTGAGGCAATCAAATCCAATCCAGCGAAGAGATTGGATAGTTTCTGAGGTGTGGCTTTCTATTTTTAATCAAGTTTTTCTTTTTACGAAATTGTAAAACCACTTCAATTTTTCAGCAGTGGTGTTTGTAAACTGGGCAGGCTAATCCGGAGAATACAATTGGGGTATTGACAATGGCAGGCAAAGGGGTTCGGGTTTTGGCTACTCCAACCTCTGATCTTGGCAGGATTTTGGCATGCATGCAAGGTAAAGTTCTCAATTCATAACTAATTTGTTTGTGTGGAACTGTGGATTCATATTTCTACTTTCTTTTTTTTAAATATGTCTAGAAATCATAAAGATGCTTCTGAAGAATGATAAGTTACGATTTCCAAAATTTTATTGTAATATTTTTTTAAAGGTGTCAAAGAGCTAAAACTGAAAGATGGGTTCTTTTTTGTTATGTTTATTGTTGTTGTTTTTGGATTGCTCTTCTGGTTGACAAAGGATGAATATTCTTTGTTATTTTCTCGCTCATTTCATTATCTATTTCTAGAAAATCTCATACTCATGAATATTGTCATCAAGGCGGATGGTATGAAAATGTTAATGCATTTTCCTCTGCCAGTTTATCAATTTGAATTCCACTTTATTTGTGGTTTGTTAATTGAAATATGCACGCGAAATTCATTATTTTGAGTATGTTCTTACTTGGCATTTGTAAGCTTCTGATTACTTATGAAAGGTTATATATTTTATGCGTTTATAAACTTATGACATGGAATTACTTTCTTTTTGGTTGGGTTAAAATGATATTGATTGTGGCGTTATAAAGCTCCTTTTTATAGTTAGGTTAAAATAACATTAATAGATTCTTTATTTGGTTGATCCGATTTAATCCTCCTTTTCTTTTAGTTTTGTGTTAGCACATGGGGTATATTGCTTTGCTTGCTGGCTATTCAATGTGTCGTCAAATTTGAGTATCTTTATGTGGAAATGATTCATGGTTGTTGCGGATTATAGCAATATTTCGTTTTGATTTGTAAACAAACTAGATACTTTATCTTTGTCTTGGGTTACAGTATAATGTTTAGCAATTGAATTTGTAAGCCGGTTTAGCAATTTTTTCTAAAAATTACTATTCCTGCCAAATGCTCAAGTATTATGTCTACTTTTCTACTTTCCCTTTTCTGTGTTTTTTTCTCTATGTAGTAGGCTGATTACTTGAAATTATGATATTGATGACACAATACGAATGAATGTTTCTTATAGCTATCCATATATAGGAAGCAAAATTTGACTTCATTGGTTCTTTGGTACTACGTCTTTTTAGTTGCTTTGTGTGGAAACTATTCATGTAGTTATGCCTGAAACAGTTGGTTCATGTCGCAACGCGTGAGCTTATTTTCTAGTTTGGTCTAAATAAAGACGTTTCATTCCAAGTAATCAAATAAAACTCGCATTGGGAAGGTGCTAGATTTTCGCACTTTGGATTTATCCGTTTGTATTCACTTTTTTTTATTTATGTAATAAAGCATAAATAAAGTGCAAACGGATAAAAGTGGAGTGTATATGGTATTATAGTAAGAACTAGTAGTTTCAGTGCTGAACACTCAATAGTAGATTAACTGCTAATTAATGTGTTAATGCAAACTATAATTTTGAGTGGTATATACTACAAATAGAAACAGCCATGATTTGATTCTTCAGAATTCGATTGTGCAGCATTAGCTAGAGCATGAGAGTTTTTGAGTTTTGACCGATATAGATTCATAATTAAAAAATGTAAATTAAAGAAAAAATAAATTACACATTGGTATTTACACACCCAAAAAGGTGTTTATTTTTTTTATTTGTTAGTTTTTATTATTTTATTTTTATTGGTAAATACAACAAACCCAAAGGTTAAGAGATACAAGCAGTCCAAACTAAATAAAACGAATGAAAGCATGATACAATCAAAACAAGGCAGTCCCAAGACAAGTATGTGTGCTGCCAAAAGAAAGAAAAAAAAAACTCAAAATAATATCAAAACACAGCAGAAGAAACTTGGAGATAGATGGGGAAAGATAGCAGACCCAGCCCCCTTCAACATTAGAAATCTTTGCCAATCTTCGTTGATTTCGCACTAGATTCCCCTCTTCAATTGAGGACAATCCTCTATTTTAACTTCGAGTGGATGCATCCCTTCTGGCAGAGCCAACAATTTTGGACAACCTGAAAGGTCAAGTATTCTAAGGGATGTGAAACTTGTCAACCACTCAGGTAATGCATCCAAGTTTTCACAACCCCAAATATACAAGACTCGTAGGGTGTTAGCAGCTCCCTGCAACCATTCAGGCAATGCCACCATCCTTGGTACTCCACCAATAGCCAATCTTCGGAGCCTCAATGGAATTAGTTGATAGTTTCCGTTCTCCAAATCAAGCTGCTCACAATTGCCTATAATTAGAGTGTGTAATGCATCAGATAACTCATATCACGTGGCAAAGAGGTTAGATTACCACAATCCGTAATACAAAGATACCGAAGTGATTTCATGCATCCCACTCCATT